TTTATTTATTTATTTATTTATTTATTTATTTATTTATTTATTTATTTTGACGGAGTCTTGCTCTGTCGCCCAGGCTGGAGTACGGTGGTGTGATCTTGGCTCACTGCAACCTCTGCCTCCCAGGCTCAAGAGATTCTCCTGCCTCAGCCTACCGAGTAGCTGGGACTACAGGTACCCGCCACCACGCCTGGCTAATTTTTGTATTTTTAGTAGAGACGGGGTGTCACTATGTTGGTCAGGCTGGTCTCGAACTCCTGACCTCAGGTGATCCGCCCGCTTCAGCCTCCCAAAGTGCTGGGATTACAGGGGTGAGCCACCATGTCTAGCTGATTTTTTTATATTCTTCTCTGGCCTTCACATGTGATACACACACACGCGCACATACACACACTCCATCTGCCTGAATTTCCTAGAAGAAAAAGCCATTAAAAGGTGAGCTTTATTAGTATTTTCCCATCAGTGCTGGGTTATAATTCTCTCAACATATTCTAAAAGTATATTCTGCAATTCCATCTTCATATATGCAGTCCTATCTTCCAACTCTCTGCCATCTTTTGGTCTTCCCATCCTTCTTTCCAAGCTAGAACCCTGCTCACTGAATTTCTTGGGACTATTTCCACATTCCATATTGAATTAGGCTCTCAGAGATGGTTTAGAGGTTTTCTAATCCAACTCTTATTTGATGCTCAAACCTTTTAACAATATCTTGCCATATGTCACCCAGTCAAATGCTTCCACCAACAGATAACTCATTCCTTCCATGTCAGCCTGTTCTCTTTTTAGATGAGAGTGAGCCAAAATGAATCTTCCTGTATTTTTAACCCATCAATCCTATTCTCATCCCCTTTTGGTCACAGAGAACAACTCTAACCCTAGTCAATTATCCAAAACAGAACCCTGCTGCATCATTTCTTCTCTAGGCTAAACATCATGGTTCCTTTGTTTGTTTTTCACAAGCTTGGAGATACCTTTCCATGCGGGTCATCCTCTTCTAAGTGACCAACTCTATTCTTCTCATATTAGAAAAAAAAAATTCTCAAAAGTAGATTCACCACTTAACCAAAGTGGATTTTTCATTCTTGAAACATACCATATTTCTATAGAGATGGTCCATATTTCTGGCAGCAACATCACAAGGTTCGCTTAGATTGATTTCATTACACACTAAAACTCTAAAATCTTCTCCACTTAGTGATATGTCAGGTCTTTTCCCTCACTCAAGTGTGTGACTGGTTTCTAGACTATAAGCCATAACTTAGACTCAACCCCATTACATTTTACCTTCTTAATTGTGACCCATTAATCTAATCTTTCTAATGCTGGCTGTGTCAGCACACGTAGTCACTTTCCTCTCCAGATTTGAGTCAACTGTAGTTTGGTCAGTTTATCTTCAATATTTAAGTTCAATGTCCTATTTATCTAAGTTCTTGGTAAAAACTTGGACCAATTCTAGAAAAGCATCCTCCAGGGACCATAGCCAATCATCACGAGTTAGCCAATCACTCAAGCAGCCATCTCTTCCTTTCAATTTGTTCTGTACTAACACAGTCCAATAACCATTTCAAATTTCTTTGTCTACCATTCTAATTTCTAACCCACTTCTCATTTTTCCATCAGAGGAAAAGGGAGATTGGGTCACAACAAATTTAAACATTTACAAATATGATGAATAATTTAAAAATGTTGAAAAGGACTAAATTGGTTCTAAAATACAGTGTTTAAATTCTAAAAATCAAGATTTTACATAGATTGTTTACATAAAAGTGCAGTGAATTCTCCTGAGTTTAGCATGAATTACTCTCCCCAATGTATCTTACCTGAAGGAATCATTCATTATGACCATAAATATTATTCACCATTCTATCATACATGACTGCCAAAGATCCCTTCTTCTGTAGCAAACTACTCCAGGTCAGTGGTCAGTCAGTTTAAGGTCAATGGTCAGTCAGTCTAATCTACAGGTCTGTGATCTGCTAATCAGATTGTGCACACTACCACATGCACACCTACTGAGGCCAGCCTGTGGTACAGTCAAAAACACAATAATGCTGCAGATGTTCTGAGTATTGAACTGTCTAGGAGCCTGCATGAGTAGTACACAGTGGTTTGGACTTAATTCCACCACTCTCTAGCTCTGTGGCCTTAGGAAACATAACTTCTCTGGGTGTCAATATTTCCTTTGTGAAATAAAGACAATATTACTTGTTTACACACACACACACACACATGTAGATATGTTGGTTTCTCTCTTATTCACAGCATCTGTGACATTAATGATAATGCTGTCCTACTCAGAGTTAACTTTAAATGAGTAAGACAGTAATGCAAGGATGACTGAGAGTACTGTGTGTGAGGCACTAAATGATATTGTCTTTTACAACTAAAAGAAATGTATGAACCAATTTGAATTTATTGAATATTCCTATATTTAGGAAATTACTTCACATTTTAATTTTTAAGTATATCTCTATTTCAACCTTAGGGGATATAATGAATATATTTTTGGACTAATTTTTTAATACCTTGTTACTCAAAATGTACATTGAGGACCACCATAGAGATCTTCAGGGAGCCTGCTAGAAATGCATGAAAATCTGCATTTAATGAGGCCCTCAGCTGCTCTGCATTCACAGTGAAGTTTGAGAAGAGCTGGTTTAAGATATCATGAGTTCTCTGAAGTTAACTTTTGTGTGTTTGGTGCTCTTACCCGGTATGGTACTGAACAACTAGGCTTTTATTTGTTTATTTTGTGGGGGGAAATTGCTTAGAAAATACTGTGATTTTATTCATAGTATATACACCACAAAACAGACACTTTCCATTATTTTAATTAGTTCAAAATTTAAAATCTGCTTGTTTTTCAATTGATTTTTTCTTATTTATTTATTTATTTATTTATTTATTTTTATTTATTATACTTTAAGTTCTGGGGTACATGTGCACAATGTGCAGGTTTGTTACATATGTATACATGTACCATGTTGGTGTGCTGCACCCATTAACTCATCATTTACATTAGGTATATCTCCTAATGCTATCCCTCCCCCCTCCCCCAATCCCACGACAGGCCCCAGTGTGTGATGTTCCCCTTCCTGTGTCCAAGTGTTCTCATTGTTCAATTCCCACCTGGGAGTGAGAACATGCGGTGTGTGGTTTTCTGAAGAACTAGGCTTTTAAATAAATGAAATAACATGTTTTTCCTTCACATTTTGTATCTTTCTTCTTAAAATCTAGAATCAGGAGTATAAAAAGGAAAAAAAATGAAACCAAACTCCTCACCCTTCCATTAAGTAGGCCTTATCCATAAAAAATTTAACTACTGGCCGGACGTGTTGGCTCACACCTGTAATCCCAGCACTTTAGGAGGCCGAGGCGGGCGGATCACAAGGTGAGGAGATCGAGACCATCCTGGCTAACACGGTGAAACCCTGTCTCTACTAAAAATTACAAAAAATTAGCTGGGCATGGTGGCACATGCCTGTAGTCCCAGCTACTTGGGAGACTGAGGCAGAAGAATAGATTGAACCCAGGAGGCAGAGGTTGCAGTGAGTCGAGCTGAGATCGCACCACTGCACTCCAGCCTGGGCAACAGAGCAAGACTCCATCTCAAAAAAAAAAAAAAAAAAAAAAAAAAAAGATTTAACTACTGAGGGAGAAAAGCTATCTTGAATCCAGAAGAAAAGATGTCTTATGAGTACTAAAACTTTAGATTAATAGGAATCGTGTAATTTAAAACTCTGTTGATTTTGAAGGAAGTATGTCTAAATCTACCTTTTGTTATAAAATGAGTGGTGGTGATTTGTAACCATCTCCTTCAGCATCCAAGTTAGAGTGAAATTTTTTCAGAGGGATAATCGCAACTTTATAGAAATTTCCACTGTGTCCTTCTACTACCACTCAAATCTTAAAAAAAAAAAAAAAAAAAAAAAAAAGAAAAGAAAAGAAAAAACAACTGGGGACTACCTATCACCATGGCTTATATACCACTATATTATTTTTATTCCTGGGAATGGGTGCTATAAATAACTTGAGAATTATTTTCAAGAATTAATCTAAATATTTTATTTATCAAGCTTTTTGAGAGAAATTAGCTGACCTTTTAATTAACTACTTGTCTCCCATAATATAGTGCTAGTTGATAGCTAACAAATTTAACTCTCTCAAAGAAATGGAGTATAAATGCTGGGCGTGGTCCATTTTGACCATCTTTATTAAATAAACACAGAGATGCATTACAGTAGACTTGATTAGCAGCAGTGGAGTCTTAAGATAGTATCACATTGAAATGTGTACCAGAAAATGTTAAATGAAATGGTTTTACCTGCTGGGTCCCTGATTGGTTCCCAGTGCAAATCATTGTCTTTCTCCCTGATCCATCCACAAAGTCCATGGTCAAAATTACAACTGTGTACCAGAACACCTACAAGAAAATGAAAAACAACAAATGAATCTATGAACTAGGGGTATCTAGACAACACATGTTCTCTCCTATCTATATAACCAGAGCTTCTTTCCACGAGACCAAAAGGAAAGTACATTAATCCCTTCTCAGCACAATAGTGCATCATCTGTAAAAATAGAACACACAAATGTTGCCAAATTATAACCATGTTACATCATCACTTATAAAATATGATTTCCTTTTTTACAATTTAAGTATTACTTTAATATATTTTTTAAAAAGAAAATGATGATTTAACTACAAAGGAAATCCGAGTTGTTAAAGAAAACAGGTATAATTTTCCCAAATGGTCCAAACAATCTACATTTAAAAGTTATTTTCATGGAGAGAAACAATAAAATGTCATTATGATGGCACTAAGAGTGTAAGTGTCACCTGGATCATCCTTTGCTTCATCGTCCGCACTGACTCCTCTTTCTATTTCAAATATTTCAAACAAGTCATTTGAAGGTTGCCGTGGAACTGCAAGAGAAAAGTTTTGAGTTTTTTTTTGTGTGTGCGTGTGTTTGAGGTATTGATAAAGAGGCATTACCTTTAACAAGGGCGGGAGGAAAAGACCTAGTCATTTTATTCATCTGGATGAATCCAAAATATTCAATTTTATCTCACATGAAGATTCACGAATTTTGTTCTGCAGCGATTTATACTGCAACATTGATCCGGGTATATTTTTTAAAAATGATTTTCAAAAGTTTCTAAAATTCAACAAAAATAACTTAAAAAGTCTTTATTTGGAAAATACATTTTAATAGAGCAACCAATTTCCGGCCAACTATTCATCTCTATGAAATTCTAAAGTTCATCTCTACGAAAGATACATTATTATGATCTTTAAATTAAGGTTGTTTTAACTGCAAATACCTATGATGGAAGTGAATGGTTTGGTTTCTAATCACAGCATCTACTCCCCACCCCCAATGAACTCTGCACATTGTTGCACTCTAATATACATTTCCTACCATGGCCTCCCTTCTTTAAACAGTTTCCCTGGCTCCTTTAAGATCAAATTCAAACTTCTTGGGGCAGAGTTTACAATCTACCCCACCAAAATACACAATGCTGTCCAAACATGCCATTCATTTTCACGTCTCAGACTCCATGCTCTCTTTCCTGCTAATTAACCTGCCAAAAATCTCTTCCTTCAAGGCCCAGCATAAATATCACTGCCTCTGCAGAAATTTTCATGCCCCAGGCAGAATCAAATTCTTCCCTCATGTACCTCAAGAGTTCATGCTTATAAGCCCCTATTACACACTTTCATAAAGAATTGCAGCTATTTACACATATGTGTCTGTCCCTCTGCTAGTCTCTGAGGTCCTGGAGGGCATCAATCATGTCTTATTTGGGTGGCATTTCCAGGGCTTGACCTGGTGGCAGGCACTCAATAACTGTTTACTAAATGAATACAAATATCCTGTTAGAAAGTCATGTAGTATTTCAACACTTTTACTCAAAGGACACAAGTGGGACAAAGCATAAGAATCTACTTTTAAAAAAAAATTGATTTCTTTAAATCATTATTTATTCAATCAGTGTATATTTGATGGCAAAGCAGATGCCAACCACTGTGGCGGGCACTAAGGAGACAGGGTGAATGGGATAGACAAGACTGAGGGTCTGGGTCTTATGTGGTTTGAATTCTAATGGGAGAAGCAGATTTTAAATATGGAGATAAATGAGTGCTGTAATTTGAGATTTTGATAAGGGTTAGGTAGGAAGACATCATGGAGAGTAACTGGTGGGGAAATGCGTGGGAATGTTCATGGTGGTGAGGGGAATTCTTGGTCAAAGGCCAAGGAATACTCCCTTCTCTTTGCCAGAACTTCAATTAATTAGCTTTATTTTTATAAGGCAGGGAGTAGGAGATGTAGAACACTATGAAGCCATCATCACTCAAAGGGGTTCTTTTTTTCAATGACGTTCCTATTGTTTTTAGCAAAAATTCTTAAAATTAAGTAATAATCCCATAATATTTGCACAAGTTGTTTTTAGCTTACTACTTCTGAGTTTTTTCTTTTTGTTTCAAACGTTAAAACAGTGAAGTCCCTTCCCTTCTTACAATCCATACTCGCAATATACCCAGCTGGGCAGCAAAGAAAGAAGAGAAGCTCTGGGGACACAGCTGACTGTGGGTGCCCAGGGGATGAGGCAACCCCACTCTCTCTTTTATAGCCCAGATAACTGACAGCAATGACATCCAATTACACTTTCCTTATTTGGTGCTCTGAGAGGGGGAGTGCCTCTTTTATTTACTAGAAATATTACAAAATTGTAGGCAAGCATGCTTTCTTTCTTGTGACAGAAAGTTGTAAAAACTCAATAGAACAATCATGTTTTTGTCTCCTTCTATTGTTGTAACTTATATAAATCATCTCCAAAATGGAATGGGCTCAACTCTTAAAGTATCATATTCCAGGGACGTTATGACAGTTTTTCAAGCTCCACCCCCCCTTTTTTTCCTTCCAGATGAAGGACTATCAAATGGCAAATCAAGTCTTGATGTAAAGGTTTCCTGGCTCCTGGAGCCTGTTTTATAAAAAGGGAGATCAAGAGATCCTCTCTGAGGAAGCACAATTTAAACTGAAAGGGAAGAATGAAACTTTCCAAGCAAAAAGCATAGCATTGGGGTTGGGGAAGAGGGAGGACAAAGTACAAAGTACAAAGAAAGTGCTTGGAAAATTTAGAGAAAGGAGTTCACAATGGCTGGAGGATGCTGAGAAATGAAGAAAGCAGCATGGGATGAGGTTGAAGAGAAAGGAAGATATTAGATCATATAGTTAGAAGATGGCAACACAAAGAATTAGTCATGTAACAACTTGTAAAATGTCAGATGGTTTATTAATATTATATGTACTTGGTTTCCAAGAACCATTTAATTTAGCAGCAGATAATCATGTATACCTTCGTTACAATCCACTGGGAAACATTCCAAGGAATTTAGAGACCAGAAGTGCTCAGAAGCTATTGGTTCTTACAATTTTGTGTGCTCTACTCTATAACCATACCAAATTATTTAACTAATTTTCCTTCCTTACACATACCAGTATGGGATTACTAAGAGCATCCCACTGAAGTGTTAAGAGAAGAAACACTACCCACTCCCTGATACACTTTAGAGTTTATGTGAAAAGATTAAGTGAAATAAGTAGCAGAACAAATCATTCAAGCAGTATTATGTTATTATCACAATCATGTACAAGAAAAACAAACCAAAAGAAAAGGACTAGAAGAAAGAGGGATAAATACACCAATATGCCAATATGCTAATAGTAGTAATCTAAGAATTAGAAATGAATTTTTTTTCATTTGTGTTGGTTCACCTTTTTTTGTAATTCTATGTTTTTAGGATTGTTTGTAAAAAGAAAAAATATAAATATGAATAAAAAACTTAAAAGAGAGTGCTGTTAAACAGCACCTTAAAAGAGGATGCTGTTAGATCACATATAAACAGCAATTATATGTCTGTTATTTGTATTTTGGCAATTCTAAGTATTCAAAGAGAACTCAGACTTAATAGTTGCTGAATGCAAGGCTATGAAATTGAAATATGTTTGTGAAATTCAAACATTTTCTTTGATTCAAGGGAGCTATTTTGATCAATGCAGAAAATGTTAATTAAAATGAATGACTAGCCTTGCCCAAAAATGAACTATAACCAGGATGGACACTGGTACGTGATTTTTCTAATTATTATTTCCCTGCTTCATACTTTGGCTAATATTCAACTTAAATACACAATATATGTGTTTTATAAAAACAAATGCATACCTACTATTCTCTGTAGTTGTACCATTAATTCTTAGAATGGTATAAATTTAGAAACTAAAAAAGAATCAGAGAAGTGCTAGCAATACAATTCCTCCACCATCTGTCCATGCATCCTGCCTCCTTCTATTCCATCCACTCAAGTATGCAAGCAACCAAGAAACTGAGCATCAGCTTTACAATGCATGGGCTAAGAGCGTGTTATAAAGCATTGGGCACACTCTTGCCTTCATGGGATATACATTCTAGAAGTGAAGGCAGATTTTTAACAATTTCCCCAGGTAATGTGTGTCTTAAAGAAGTAGAGAATGCTACGTGAGTATGGGCGTGGGGTGTGAGGGACTGGCTAAGCTAGGCTGGGGAGGATACACGTCGTGAAAATCTCTGAGAAGTGATGCTTTCTCTATGACATAAGAAGTACTATGAGCTATGGCTCTGGAGAATGAAAAGAGCAGGGATTGAAACACCAGAATCACTGTAGACCTTAGAGGGGGAGGGAGGCAGCGTGCAGGAAGAAGGGCATCAAATGGAATTGGAGATAGAGGCAGAGTGTGCAGGAGCTTTTACAGCCTTGTAAATATTTTTGACATTATCCTGGTGGAAACTGGCAGCCTCTGAAGGATTTTAACAGAGGAGTGCCAAGAACAAGTTTGCATGCTAAAATGACCATTCTGGTAGTAGTTTGGAGAATGAACAGGAAGAAGGTGAGAGTGGGTGTCATAGGGAAATTATGACTAAAATTAACATCAACTATGAATGTTCATATATTTTTAGAAAATGTCCCCAGAATCTTTCTACCATTGGTCCATGTTTTACCCACAAAAACATATGTCTTGCCTGTTGCTTCTTACAGCCTTCTGCATAAACTAAAAGAAAGGGAATGTACAGGTACTGAAGCAAGTGACAGCTGGATAAAGGCATGGTTGGACTGGGCTGAGGAGCAGAGTACTTTCTAATGGCTACTGGGCCCTGGAGTCAGCGATAAAATCAGCCACAAAAAGGAACAGGAAAGTTCTTGTAAGAAATGCTTGCGAGGCACTTTCTACTAAATATGTGTTTTCCCCAGGGATGTGATCATATATAACCTGTGTTCACAAATGAAGTTTCCCAAATAGTCAATTGTATATTTTTACACAGAAAACATTAAGAGTAAGCACAGAGAAGTAAATGTAAATATTATCATATACACCTCCCACTGCTCAACTTCTTGCCAAGAGTAACTATAGTGAAATGTAAGCATTATTCAGTAAAGGTAGGTTTGCAAATTCTCTTTCTGTTTCATAGGAAACAAGGTGGTTCCTATGGCATTACCCAGGCCAGTTCTGGCATTTGTTGCTGGACTAAATGATTAAAGATAACACTGTCTTAAATTACTTCTATGCTTAGGAGTTTAGTTCATTGAAGAGAATAGTACATATGTAATTATTCTAATATTCTGAAGGCTGTTTCCGGTGGCAAAACCTAGAGACTTTTGGAGACACAGATTGGAGGGTGGGGATGAATGACAAGGGTTTTATAAGATGGTCTCTCCTCCTCTCCCTGTCTCTCTTTCCCTCTATTCTCTCTCCAGATGCAGGACATATGCATCATAATTTAAGTGATCAGAGAGAAAAGCAAATAAAAGGGCTGGAAATCAGTTTCTGAAATTTCTTTAACCATGTTAGAGAAAAGTTTTAGCCATCTATTCATTATAAGCC